AAGTAGCCAATCATTATTGAGTAGCCAATCATTATTGAGAAACAATTTTTTTATCGAATCTCTATGTTACCACGCCGCCCCTGTAGAACCATAATGTACCTACATGAGATGATGATTCAGGAGGAGGTGACTAAGGGTTACGTGATCGGGTCTTGGTAGGATATGGAATGTTAGAATTAGTCAGTCTTTATTTGAATTACATGTAGTGCAGTCAGAAAATATAAATTGAAGTTAGTTATCTACTAGAGTTTCGCTAATTTACAAACCCCATTACGAATTCAGTTCTAACATCAGATAGTGGGATATTCCACGTGCCTCTAAAAGTGTAGGAATTGTGGTAATAAATACAGTGACATCGAATTTCCAAAATGAGTGATAACGAAAATGAGCTATATCGCGAACTGTTGGAAAAACATATAGACAAGAAAATAAGTGATGCTATCAAAAGACGATTTAGTTCGAGTTTGTCAGCGTCGGATGCCATTGAAATAAACAGTGACTTCACGTTACCCTCAACATCTAGGGCGGCCGGTGATATCGTACCAGTATTTGATCCAGATGACAAGACAATGACAATTACAGGGTGGATACAAAAAATTGATCAGCTCGGAGATATTCATAGTTGGAGCGACTATCAAAAAACTACATTCATGCAACAGAAACTGCGTGGATCAGCGCGAAATTGGTTTAACCGGCTGGACGATTATAGAAAGTCTTGGTGCGAGTGGAAAACAGCGTTGGCACGTGCCTTTCCTAGATGTACAGACTACGCAACGGTGTTAGAAGATTTGGTCATGCGGAAAAAGAGAGCCGGTGAGACAATGACGCATTATTATCATGACAAATTGGCCCTGATCCAGCAGTGTAGGTTAGACGAAGATGCAGCGATTTCATGTATCATAAAAGGCTTGCCGTTGGAACTTCAAGCCAATGCCAGGGCCTTTCAATGCTCAACAATTGATGAACTTTATGCAGGATTTATTGCTCCCCTCGAAAACTATCAGAGCCCACGAGAAGAACCAAAAGCTAAAAGGATCAGATTGGACAGTAGTACTAATAGAACTGGAGAATGCTTCAACTGTGGAAAATTAGGTCACGTGGCTAGAGATTGTCGTCTCAAGGGATCCTTAAGGTGCTACTCTTGCAACCGATTTGGGCATAAGAAAGAAGATTGCCGACTTCGAAAAAATAATCCGGGCCCGTCAAGCAAGTCGACGGATGCCCCTGAACCGAAATCAGTTAGGGTGATAAATGCACGAGAAATCAATGACACATATACAAAAAGGTGCACTATAAATGGAAATCAAATTATTGCCTACCTAGATAGCGGATCACAGGTGAATATCATTCACAGTATTGTTGTGGAAAAACTCCGACTTCCAGTGTTTCCGGTATCAAGCAGCCTGAAGTCTTTTGGAGGATCTCTCATACATATAGACAAGGCAACCAAATTCATTTTGGAGGTCGATGATTTCCAGACTGAAACCTCAGCCCTAGTGACCACTGCAAATATGGATAATTTTGACATGATCATCGGCCAGCCAATTATTAACGCCGAGGGGGTATCACTTTTCGTTTCTTCAGGGAAGGCTATGCTAACCAAGGACAATGGAGATTTGTTGGCCAGTATTACTCTAGACGGAACGAAGGGGCGGCCGCATCTTTTCACTTCAGAGGACATCACGCTACAGCCCAAGACAACGTCGATCGTATCAGTGAATATAACAGAAGTCGACGATTCTGAAGACATCTATACAGATAATAAGCGATTCCAAACAGGGCGGAGTTTGATCAGCATTCCAGGAATGATTCTACGCGGTTCCAAGGGCGTGATTCCAGTTTCTAATATGGGTGATCGAGAAGTGACCTGGCATGAGGGAAGGTTGATTGGTCGAGGTTGGAGGTGTATCGATTCCACGACGATGAATAACTATAAGGTGAGCCTGATTGAAAATAGTAAGTTGAAATCATTTTGTATGGGTGATCTAGACATTAATACTGATTTGGATTTGATAACACGAAATAATGTTTTGAATATTCTGAATAAGTGGAGAAATTGTTTTGCTGAAAATTCTGCAGAGCTGGGAACCGTTAAGGGTTGCTCACTAGAAATTAAACTAAAAGATGAGTCCAAACCTGTTTGTTATCGACCATACAGGCTCTCCATCAGAGAGAGGGAGTTAGTTAGAGATAAGGTAGAAGAACTAGTAGATGCCGGTATTGTGAGAGAGTCACACTCCGATTTTGCTAGCCCCATAGTATTGGTTAAAAAGAAAGATAGCTCCTTTAGGTTATGCTGCGATTACAGGGCTCTTAATAAAGCTACCATCAAACAAATGTATCCAATGCCCAACATAGAAGAGCATCTGAATTTATTATGCGGTAAATTTTATTTCACTTCTTTGGATTGTAATCAGGGATTCCATCAAATAGCTGTAGAACCGAAATCGATTCCAAAAACGGCCTTTGTGACACCGGATGGACATTATGAGTTTCTCAAAATGCCTTTCGGTTTGATTAACGCGCCTGCGGTATTTCAAAGAGCCATAAATAACGCACTGGGGGGTCTCCGTTACAGCCAGGTGTTGGTATATATGGATGATTTGTTGCTACCTTCAACATCCATTGATGAGGGCATGAAGCTACTGGAGACAGTTCTCAAAATTCTTAGTGAATCTGGTTTCAAATTAAAATTGAAAAAATGTTCATTCTTGAAGAATTCAGTAAATTTTTTGGGACATGAAATTGGTCCGAAAGGTATATCCCCTGGATCGGCAAAAGTTGAATGTGTTAAAAATTTTAGGCAGCCGGAAAATGTCCATGAGGTCCGCCAATTCCTGGGACTCGCCGGATATTTTAGGAAGTTTGTTCAAAATTTTGCAATTATTGCTTTGCCATTAACCAAGTTAACAAAAAAGAATACACCATTTGAATGGGGCCGAGATCAGGAGACAGCTTTTTCTAAACTGAAGAAATGTCTGATTCACAAACCAATTTTAACATCGTACGATCCACGCCTAGAAATAGAGATACATACGGATGCAAGTGCCAAAGGACTAGCTGGCATATTTTTCCAAACAACGGAAGACAAAAGCTTAAAACCAGTTGCATACTTCAGCCGGGTAACTTCACCCGCCGAAAAATATTATCACAGCTACGAACTAGAAACTCTCGCCGTGGTTGAAAGTTTGAAACGTTTTCGTATCTATCTGGTCGGACAAACTTTTAGAATTGTAACAGATTGCTCAGCGGTACGCTATACCTTTTCAAAAAAGGACCTGAATCCTAGAATCGCTAGATGGTGGTTGTCTATTCAAGATTATCACTTCGAAATTATTCATAAACCAGGTCATTCTATGAAGCATGTTGATGCGCTTAGTAGAAATCCGCCTAACATTTTACAAATCGAAGTGGAGGACTGGTTTTTAACTATACAACTACAGGACGATGCTCTGCAAAACGTCATAAAGCGAATTAAAGCTAATCCTGGAGAACACTTGGCTAGGGAATATACGTATGAGAATAACCGTTTATATCGAAAAACACTTCTTGGAAAACGACTCATTATACCAAAATTTGCTAGATTCCAGTTGCTAAGAAAATATCATGATGAAGTAGGTCATCCAGGATTTGATCGATGCCTAAAGTTGATCAAGGATCAGTTTTGGTTTGCAAAAATGTCTTCTTTTATAAAGAAATATGTAAATTCCTGTTTGCAATGTAGTTACGGTAAGGGCAATTATGGTAAGGCCGAAGGTTTCCTACATCCTATTCACAAGCCAAGCATTCCAATGGACACTGTTCACATAGATCACATTGGACCATTTCCTAAAACGAAAACAGGCTTTGTTTATATTTTGACTTTGGTAGACTCTTTCACAAAATTTTTTGTTGCTAGACCATCAAAAACACTAGGTTCAGCGGAGTGCATCAAGAATTTACGGATCATTTTTGGGGAATATCTTGGATATCCCAAGCGCATCATATCAGACAATGGTTTAGCCTTTACTAGTAGACATTTTAAAGATTTCGTGAATAGTAAGCAAATCAAACATGTTCGGACAGCTACCGCAACACCAAGGGCCAATGGACAAGTAGAACGATTTCACCGTACACTACTAGATGCCTTAAGGGCTGTGAGTAGTGACGATGATCGGAGCTGGGACGATAAAATTCCTGAAGTTGTATGGGGTATAAATAACAGCGTGCACAGTAGTACGAAACATACACCGTTTGAGCTTTTGTTTGGGTATAAGGGAAATCTTTTGAGTAACTTAGAGACGGGTTCTGATTCGGTCGAGTTTAGTAAAAAACGGCAGAACGCTCAAAAACACCTTGCCAGTGTAACGAAAGAAATGAAATCCAGGTATGACCGGAAAAGAAAAACACCACGAACATATAAAAAGGGTGATCTTGTTTTATGGAATGGAGGTATATCAGGTAATGAAAAGGGGGTAAACAAAAAGTTAAACAAGAAGTATTCTGGCCCTTATAAGATAGTGAAGGTGTTTGAGGGCGATAGATATAAGCTGAGAAGCGTCAAAGGTATGAGGGGTTACAAGAGCTTTAGCACATTGGTCGCAGTTGACTCCCTCAGACCTTATCACAGTTGTATGGGAAATAGTGATACCGCCGATAGTGATGATGAATTGAGAGATAGAGAAGACCTAATTGATCTTCTCGAAAGTTAACAGTCGGACAGGACGACTTTAAAGGCAACCTGTGGGTGTATAGTAACAGTAGAGTCGGACAGGACGACTTTAAAGGGAACCTGTGCATATATTATAGTGTGAAGGCCGGGCAGGACGAGTATAAAGTGTACCTGTGAAGCGAGGGAATATCACTACCCGGTTGTGGGCTGCACCAAGGCAGCTACTAGTAGATATTTGTTATTTGGAGGGTTGCCAACACTAGGTTAAACGTCATACAGGCACCTCAATGAATACATTCATCGAAGATACACTGTGCCCCTCGATACTGCTATTATTTCTCTGTCCCAGGTCCCGCAAGCGTACAACCAACTATAGAGCACTTGCCGAGGACGGAAGTGTATACAGGATGGCCGAAATGTTACCACGCCGCCCCTGTAGAACCATAATGTACCTACATGAGATGATGATTCAGGAGGAGGTGACTAAGGGTTACGTGATCGGGTCTTGGTAGGATATGGAATGTTAGAATTAGTCAGTCTTTATTTGAATTACATGTAGTGCAGTCAGAAAATATAAATTGAAGTTAGTTATCTACTAGAGTTTCGCTAATTTACAAACCCCATTACGAATTCAGTTCTAACATCTATATGCCCTATCAGTTTGCATCTCTCCTGACAATACAGAAAAAAAAAAGAAAAAAAGAGCTAATAACATTAATTTTCCTCGTACGGAAATAAACACTACAAGCATTCATGCTTAGATAATTTCTGTACAGGACATAATCTGTAATAGTGATATGTTATCTTGTAATAATGACTATCATGGAATGAATATAAAGTGTGCGATGATTTGATTATCATTATTATAATTATTATTAATGTGGACCCTACTCCTGCTCAATTTCAACACTGTTTCTGGATGACCTATTTATTCTCGAAATGATCCTCAATTTTTGTATTCCCTCATATCAGGCATCCTTTAATACGAGAGCCTCCGCATATAGGAGAGATATTTTCCAGCAAAAAGTATACCCGTATAACTCCTTGTTATACGACGCTATACATAGTGGAGTATACTACGGCCGTGCCAAAAATGCTATCTCGGAAACTAAGCGAGATAGAGGTATAGTTGCTTTGGAGAAAATGATCCCCATCGAATTTTGAGCAACTTTGGTTTTTGTGTGTGGTCTGTCTGTCTGTCTGTCTGTACTCTGTGTTAATCATAAATCGATATATCTCCGGAACCCTTCGACATATCGACTTGAAATTTTGCCATCTTATTGTACTCAAAACAATATTATGTCATTGAAATATGAAGGAAATCGGAAAACTCTAAGGTGGTTTTTCCGGGTTTTTTCGATTTTTCACCAGAAGTTCCTTGTAACCACTCTACGAATCGCAAAAGTGGTCCGATCGATTTCATTTTTTGTGAAAAAAACCTCTATCAGGAAGAGACGAAGCCTATTGAAATTGAGCAGGGTCGGAAAATTCCAAGTGGGTTTTTCAAGGAGATTTTCCGAAAAACACGGTTCGCTTTAAAACGACATATCTCCTGAACAAATAGACTAAATCCAAATTTGAGAAATGCACCGTATGCCTCTTTGATGACGCAACAAATTATTATTCGACCATTTTTTCGTGCATCCATCGGAAAATGGAAAAACAAATGAAAATCAAAACATCAAAATTTGAAATCCTTTCAATTCAATATATATCGAAAACAAATGGAAAAATCGAAAATTATCAGAAGTGCAAAGTTATCCACTGGAACATTTCCTACAAATTATTTTCCATGATTTTTTCTGTAAACCCAATAGTACAGGAAATAAAGTGAAAAATATGAACAAAAAAATGTTAACGACCCATAGGGTACTAGGAAGATATATTGAAAAACAAAGATTATCGATAGATGAAGCTCATCGACTTCCACTGTACCATGGAATATTTTTTTCATTTTGTTGATTGGAAGATGGAACAAAAGTGTTGAAAATTTTATTCTCAGATAATTCCAAATATCTCGAAGACAACTGAAAATATCTGAAAATGTTATTAAACCAAAATTATTCCTTTTGATGGAATCTACAAAGAATCCGTATGACATTTTTCTCTTGATTCAATAGTTCGGGAGATACGATGAAAAAACTAAAAAATTTACAAGTTCCTAGATAATCATTTGCCAATAGAAAACGAAACAAAAAACGGAAGAAAGTAAAAAAAGCACACTCGACTGTCTTTATTTTTCGCCAATAAACTAGGTACCTAGCTCACTCGACTGTCTTAATTTCCCACAAAGAAGAAATATGTTGGCAAAGTTTTAACTATCTTTCGTTTTTGTTTTTTCAGTCCCTATTGGCAGTCGAGTGGGCTAGGTACGTAAATTGTGTGGAAAAACCAAGACAGTCGAGTGGGCTAAGTACGTAGTTTGTGGAAAAAATCTCCAGTTCTCTGAACTTTCATAGCGTCGTATACACATCTTTGGAGTCCAATGATAGTTTCAATATAAAAATATGCTCATGATAATATGGTGCCATGGCCTCTACTTCCATCTTACATGAGCAATGATAAAATATCATCTGCTTTTATAGCGTCGTATAAATTATCTGACCTCTATACTCAAATCTTATACCTAATGAAAACTACATCTTTCAAAAACTAGGTACCTCACTTGTTTAGTTCGGATATTGTTGGGAGTGCTGTCAAGGCGATAGCTTCTGGTATCGATTTCACGTTTAAAGCTCCCTTCAGCCATCTCCTTGGGAAAATATGCTGTGAAAATAGCGAGGTGGAAAATTGTGTGGCACCTATCTACAGGCCTTCCATGCATGACGTGTTTTATATTTATTTATCAATTCATCTATTTACAGATAAGTATACAGGGTGATTCACATAACAATCGACATAGGGCAGGGGCATGTAGGGAGTCCCAAAATATGGCAATTTAACGCAACTTACCTCTATACCAAGTTGCTTCCCTAAGGAGCTATATGCATAGCACTAACAGCATGTCAACTTGCTCGTTAAAAGAAAAATTCCCGTTCATTTTAAAAACACTTAAACAACAATTACTTAATTGAACAACTCACTTGCCCCATTGTCAAGTTTGACGTTTATTTTCATAGCCAACTTTTGAATTTTCGATGATTTTAAATAACACACCTAGAGCGCGCGTTTTCAGTTATTCGAGTTTTTGATGAAAATGATGAAGTTTTTCGAAAAATTACTGGAGTAAGAAAAGTTTTAGAATTGAATTGCCCACAAAACAAAGCAAAGATTTTTGAAATCCATCAAGTGTTAACAAAATTATGTTGAATATTAATGGTGCGCCACCCGGTATACCCCCTTTACAAATTTCAATTGAACTCTAGTTACTGTCAAGTAACGCCCCAAATACATCCACAAAGTGTACCAAATTTGGTTGCTTTAAGTTCAAGAATAACGGAGATATTGATTTTTTTCAAAATTTATAACTTCACTTTCAAAGCCTATATCTCCTTAGGGAAGCAACTTGGTATAGAGGTAAGATGCGTTGAATTGGCATATTTTGGGACCCCCTACATGTTCCTGCTTTATGTCGGTTCTTATATGAATCACCCTGTATAGATATAGCGATTATATTATTAGGAACTATCATCAGAGTTTATGCAACTAATTTGATGGTTTGAATTCTTGTTCGTGTTTCATCTCTTCATCTTCACAATATTAGGTTTATCTGAACCTCATATATGAAATCATATTCACATAGTTGTATTGAAACTGTCTATCAGTTGTCAATACCTTGCCCCTTACCTTATGTACCTACCTAACCTTACCTGGTTATTATTATTATTATGTATTCGAAATTTCTTCTAGCCCTCTGTAATCATTTGTAATGGAATGTTTTTGAACCAACTTCATTACTAGACTGGTTTTGATAAATATCTAAGTACCTGAGACTGATTCTAGTTGAATTTCACTTGTTCGAAAGCTCTAAACCCAGAAACCAGATGAGAGTTCTGAGTAATCCATTGATTCCTGACTTTCCAAAGCTTTTCCTGATAGTAAACTGCGATAAACATCATTACAACATTAAAGAGTTCAAAATTTTTCAACCATTTGCTTATGATATGAAATTTGGATGAATTTTTTATCTGTTGAAATGATGGATGTTCACCTGGTCATAACTTTTTTTATTGAATATTTCGAGTCGAATTCATTCAGTAGCATTAGCAAGGGTATAGTAGATCCTGTTCCTCTGCCCATTTAGGGTTGAATATAATTTTTTTCGCATTTTTTTGCGTTTAAGAACATGTGCGTTTGGATGCTAGTTCCTGCAGGCATAGTTGAGGATTCCAACCAATCAGAATCTACGATTGAGCTGTCCTTGTACCGAGGTTGAATGGGAGTATAAATACGGAAGACAGCTGAGGGATCGCTCTCTACGCTCTACACACTATACTCTTCAGTCTTCACGCTCTTGGCTCTTTTCACTTGTTCTCTTGCTGATCTCTTAGTGCTCTCATATTTCTTTCGAAGCCAATGTGAAGTATTAATGTATAGTGATTTCGTGTTGCACATGTTAGTTTGTATACTATTTTTCACTATAATTAGTTATCCTGTTTATAGATTTATTTCATTCCTGTTGTTTTTTATACCGATACTCACTCGACCTGTATAACGATTCCAGAAATTTGTATTTGCGAATAAAGGTTTTTTTTTCGTGATTGCAACTTTTCAAAATGATCATAACTTTGAAAAGGAATATTCTCAGATGAAATTAAAAACATAAAAAATGGAGATATATTGTAATGATATTCCCCTTAGAGGGGCTCTAGTAACATCATCAGTAAGACAGGAGTACAACGATCATCCTGTATCACGCATCCCAGATTGTTCTTCAACCTCCCAATGATTCCTACATACATCAGCATATTTCCGAACACTCAATATATGCCGCAAGGACAAATAACGTCATAGAAGATCCTGGAATGTTCTGGAAACAATCGATGGAACAATTAGAGAGAGAGATTTTGTTCTAAAAAGCTTCTAGAACAAGAATAATGAGACGGAAGATCATTCGAGAACGTTCTCGAACCAAAGCCAAGTGATCTCATATATAAACGGCGGAACAACTGTCATCAGTGAGTTAAGCAGCGAGTGTCAGAGAGACAGTTATATACCGCGTGATATAAATCGTTTTACATGAATAGTAGTTATAAGTTCGATATAAATGAGTGTTCCTTCAGTTTAAATAAATCAGTTCGAAAATAAATAGTGTCGTGTCCGCTTCTGCACCCGAATAACGTAACAATATATAAAGAAATACATCGACAATTCGCATTCTCTATGTAATAGTCTTGTTTCAGTATTTGGGTTTTGACGTCACATCATCGCCTCGTTTTCAGTGGTCCGAAAAATCGGGGATTTCAATAATTTTTCATAAAACGTAGGGAGCTCACAGCAAGAAACGG